TCCCCTGTATTCAGCTTCCCCCACATCTCTACATAGCAGCCTCTACCTAGGAAAATTCTTGCCAAATTGCACACTGCTGCTGGGCCTGGGCCAGTTGCATGGTGGAAATGTGCAAGGACTTGTGGGAGATTCCTCACCTTCCCCTATCCCTCTCCCCACTACCATTTCTTCTTTTTGACCTCATGGCAGTCCCCATATCATCAGCTTCCCCTGTTTCCTTCTCTCCTTCCCTTCCACCCACCAGCCTACTGTGACGGATTGCAAAGAAAAGTAAGCTTTTTATAATGCTGCTTGTGTCAGAGAGTCATGGAGTTCAAGAGTTAATCTACTCTGGAGACATCAGGAAATGTCAGAAAAATACTTCTATAGAGAGAAGAATAAGGACCCCATTGTCTTAAATATTTTAGAACTACCCTGAGGAAGAACTTATACAGACAACATATAATGGAGAAGGATTTTGCAGAAGGTCTGGGTAGTTAGAGAGAACTCCCATACAAGTCAAATAGTAAAAAGGAGTCATTGTTTCTTATGGACAAGGAGAATAACTTCCTGCCAGTGAATGGGGTTGGGAAGAGAACCCTGGTCTGTGATAAAGGGGAGAATCTTAGACACCTCAGGAGTTAGTGAAAAACTGTAATATCTAAAGGAAAAATCTAGATCTCTGAAGGGAGAAACCTATAAGCACTAGGACAAAGCTATTCACTAAGAAACTGTATTCATGATTCTGTATAACAGAGTAAATGTATAAGCAAAAATCTCTTACATGAAAGAACTTAAAACTCTGAAAATGAGTTACAAGACTCTCTTGTTTGTTCAAAAACCTAAATTCTGTATATACATATCTGAAAATTTTACCTCAGCATCCTCTATATCTTGAATCTTCATATATTCCCTGCATGTTTATTAAAATATTTATTCTGTTTTTGAACATTAATTTTGCCTCATGCCATTTTATGAGGGTATTTTAAAACAAGATAGCTCCTGTATTCCCTCTAGTTCCTGTGCTGGGTCATAAGCCTAAACTAATATCTGTGATAGGATGGGACAGTAAAAGCTTATAAAATAAAGAAGAAATACACAATTTTGAAGGGCAGCTCAGTCACCGAGGGGAACTAAATATATATATTTTGGCAGGAAAATCTGCCTGAGAGTGGGAAAGCATCAGGGGTCTGTCATACTTTCCTTTTATCTGCTCCCCAACATCAGCTATCCTTTGTTTATTACCTACATTTCTCCACAATGGTGATCCAAAGAAGCGTAATTATTATCCTCTCCCGCATTTTATCTTCACAACAACCCTGTGTGGTAGGTTAGACTGAGAATGTGTGTCTGGCCCAAAGTAAATAGATCTTATTGTGGTTGCCTAGCAACTGAGAGCTCAGTGGGCACTCTTTTCTTAAAGATACAAGTTAACCCCCAAATATATTAATTTATTCAGAGTTCAGATTTTTCTACAAATCTGGGGCTTTTCTCAGGTTTGTAGAATGACCTGTCTCATTTGCCAGTGGCTCCAGTCTCTCTGGCTGATTTCGCACTAGAGCTGCCTCGATGTTGTGCCGCCATTTGCCCTGATACTATTGGTCAATTTCACACCCGAAGCTGCGGGGCTGCATTTTGACTGTTTTTTGAGGATCACGAAATCGGGCGAAGCCGCGGGTCAAATGCAACATTGAGGCAGCTCTAGCACAAAATCAGCCTCTATTTAAGTATCCACAGATAAGGCTATTTTGATCATTTATATATTATACTTAAAAGAGGAGGTTATACCTCTCTCAAAACTGAGTTTCAAGGGAAAGGTGGCTATATAAATATCCTGAAGGAGTTCACACTTAAAACGATGAAATTCCTAAGGTTGTGGAAAGGCTAAATCATCACCTCAAGAATAAAAACTTGGGTAATAACTCTGCACTGAGGAATTCACACCAACTTGCATGGACTCAGCAAATGTTGTGTGTTATACTTGTGAATAGTTTCTCCCTCTATTTCACTTAACTTCCTTATTCTCCTGTCCAAGAAAATCAGTAAAAGTTACTCTTTTCCCATTTCCCTGATGTCTCATCTGAAATATCAGCATTTGGATGCCACTTATGGGCAGTCTGCCACATCAAGTTAGGCCTAGGTAGAGGCCACACTGGTCAAACTGCACATTAACCTATCTCTATTCAAATATCATTAAAGGGGGGGGGGACACTTTGGCCTGCAGAGTAGGAAAGACTAAAACCTTGTTGATTTATGTTATGTTCCTTATCTGAATCAGGCCCCTATGCTTGATAATTAAT